ATGCATTACTTGACTCTAACTGGACGTCAATGAATGGATTCTCTGTCACATCAATCGGTTGTTTAATTAATTCATTTTTATCGATAGTTTTGGCCGGAGTTATGACAAACGCATACAACCACTTCTCCTTCGCCTGATTGGCCACTTCGGCCACCGCCACAAAGCGGGTCACGTGTCGGCCCGACTCCGCCAATACTCTGTGGTTACGAAACGGATGTCTTTCGTAAAAGCAATCATAACCGGCGACGAAGTGATAGCGCGGACGCAATAAAAGTGATAGTTTGGTCACCAATTCAGAGCCCAATTCGCTGTTCGTGTCCTCCAATCGCTTGTCGTGTCCTTCGGTGTAACGAAAGATATGTTTCGGCCACTGATTGGTCATCAAGATATCGACCACCGATGAAGAACTTTGATGCGATAAAAGCAGTGACTCGTAATCCTTGGTGTCAAATGTGCTCTTCGTATCGCTTTTGCCGTCATTTGATTGCTTTCCACTAAAATAAGCGATTCTTAGTCCAGAACTTCCCGTAAGAATGCCTTTTCGGCCCAAATAAGTGATTCCGTCCATCAGTTCAAAGCCCGACTCGTAATCACTATCCGAGTCCTCATTCTTGTAGTATTTGGTCAATCGGTCGTCAGTTGTTCCCAATATATAGATGGGAACCGATGGCAACGGTATTGTCCCGTGGATTAAGTCGTTGTACTCGTCATCGGAGTCCACGCCGAAGAACTCACCCACACATAACACCAGATCAAAAGCGCCGGACTTTTTCATCACTTGATTGATCCGCGCGAACAACTGTCGGTATTTACCGCTCACATCACCGCAAACTAATATCTTGAGCGCCTCCGAAGACATCACCAAATATGAGACAATTTGGATCAAATGTCTTAAACAAATCCAATTTAATAAAACGTTTTCACACTTTTTGAAAATGTGTTGAATTTTTATTTTCAAAACATTTATAATATAACAACAAATTACGCAAACTTTGAGTTTTGAAAAGTGATACAAATTAACTAAATAATCAATTGTAATAATTATTATAATTAATTAATTAAATTTTGTTGAGTGTTTAATGACTCTAACTTAAAGTATTATAAATTGATTTTTAAATAAAATAATTCACGCTTTAAAAGAAACAATAATTAAAAACCAATGAAAAACTAACAATAAAAACAATAATAATATAAAATTCAAATGATATTTAAATAAGTTAAACATTTAAGTGATATTTTTAGCAAATGTAGTAAAAAGCAAACAAACATTTACTAATTCTCAAGACTTTTAAAAATAGGTTTTAAATGTAAAGTTGGATTGAAAGCCAATATTATAGGAAATGCAATTCATTGACGATAGAGTAGTATTTTGTTTGAACACTTCCTTCCAATCAGTTTCGCATACTCTCTGATCTGTTTCTCTTCGTTGTCGTCGACAACACTAACCGACTTATAGTAGAGGAATGACATGTCGGTCCTGTTGTGCAGAATCTTGATCTCTGCATCCGTTATCGACTGAGAGTCGCTATCGATTGCATTTGGATTATCTTCAAAACGACTATATTTTGAGAGCTCTAACTTCGGAACACATGCTTCGATTGGATGCCACGAAAAGGTTTCGCCGCACAACAGATCCGATGGACTAAAATGACCCTAAAATGGCCATAAAGTTA